TCTGATGTATAGGAATTATACAGTCCCTGCTTAACTCATAAAATTCTTGATCCCACAACTCTATATTACAACTAAGAGCATCATCTTTAATTTTCATATGAAATCTTGTCTCATAATTTTCAGCAGGTTTATACTATCTTACAAATGCAAGATGATATATTTGTTCACCAGAAGAAAGATAGATAGTGTGATTAAAGTAGAATTGAATCTGACCGGGATATGAATCTGCCGATTCATCTTCTGAAGCAACATATTTTGCTAAAATTCTTGAAGATTTGATATGGCGAGCTAAGAATGTAGAACCAAAAATTTCCGATCCTAACTTTAACCATCTATATTGAATAATAGTAGAAAATACAGGTATCTGATCAATTCCTGATACACTTCCAGACTTGGTGAATTGATAGCCTATATCTGCCACATTATAGAATTCAACTAAAAGGGTATGAATATCGGGTTATAACATGGCATTTTCTAATTTTGGATTGAGAAATGTACTAGAAAATGATTCATAACCAAAAGCTTTTCTCTGGTTGATAATATTTCTTAAATTATAAAATTGAAGAAGATCTTGTGATTCAAATTCATCTGGAATAGCCATGCTACTACCCTGTCTCTTTATCTAATATTCTACAAACTAATAGATTACATGCCCTAATGAAGTTTGCAAGAATATGCCAGTCTGGTTCTGTTAATAAATCTCAGGTAATTGTAGTAGCATATATCATTATAAATATTTGCCGTTGGTCTGCAATATATCCAGAAAATTCTTCTCCTATAGCAATTTTAGAAGGAATTCTCCTGATATCTGTTGGAGGTTGTAATTTTTTTGCTCTTTTATTTATAAGTTTCAAATTATCAGTACTTAATTTTCTACCTTCTATCCAAAGTTGTATAACAATCCACTTTGCAATTCCCAAAATAAACAATGCATTTGGTTTACAATTACATGTTTGATTGGGTTAAAATAAGGAAGATGGTAGAGTTCTGACCATCTCACTAAGTTTTCAGAAAGGTGTTTCTTTCTTTGATCCTCAGTATTGCATAGTTTCTATGTATATGCATCTTTTTTAATTTTCTCAATATCACGCTCTACAAACCAGTCATTTATATCCAAAAATCTACCAAAATTAGGTTGATGTCTAGCATCAAACTATACATGTTTTTCACATTAAAAACATGCAATTCTTGTCAATATTTGTTCACATAACTTTCTGGCTGCTGAAATATCACATGAGTAGCATATAATAGCATACTTAATTTTTTTTGCCCTTAGGAGATTCATTTGTAGAAATTTCTACCCCATTCCACAATTCAAGCAATTGATCACCAAAGATGCAAGATAATGATTAAGATGATATGATTTAACTTCCTTGGGTCCCAGTAATAATGCTAAAGTAATTATATTTTGAGGTTTAAATCTGAGTTCACAGAGCAAATTACAGATAACTGCATATATTGTACCAGTAGAATATACAGAATTTTTGAAGGAACTAAACTAGTTTAGATTAATCATAAGGCCAAGATGTGTATTGTCATGTTCTAATGTAAAGAAATCTTCATCTTGATTTTTAAAATTCTTTCATATATTATCATTATAAATATCGGCAAGATAATTTTTATTTATATTTCTATTAACCTATTTTCTACATGATTTTTCAAATCCATTTTGGCTATATAATAATGTGAGCTGATCTTTAATATTTATTGTTGGATAAGTAAGCAAAGAATGAAACAATATTCTATCCTTTGTAGGCACCTCTTTTGCCAATTTTTGATTACAAGGTTGTCTCATTTTAGACATTGTGTAATTAGGATATTCTACAAAAGTACAATATAAACATATCGGGATTTGTCCAGGCTTTTTTGTTGTTACCTTACTAGGTTCATACAACTTATTACATACCGAACAAGTTGCATAATTATTTATGCGTAGACCTAAACTCATTAACTTTCTGGCTAAATAGAGTGACTTAGAAAAGTTTTTAAACTGATCCTGATCAAGATCTGTCAATAGAAAATGAATAAATTTAACTAATGATTCTGTTGCTGTATCAGATAACTGATATCGTTGTTGATATCTTAGAATTCAGATTAATATCCAACCAAAGCTATTGTCAAGATTATCAATATGTTTGAATTCTTCTTCATCTCCGTTTTCAATATTGAGAGCAGAATAATCTATTATAGTTTCCTCATTATTACTTTCAGGCTCTATTTCTGCAACTTCATCATCATCATTAAAGATATTTAAAGTTTCAATAACTATAGAAATATCAGGTTTTTCTCTAATTTTAGCTTTTGCTTTTTTTCTGTTATTTTTAGTTACAAAAAATGATTCTTCTTAAAGAAATAATTCTTCGTGAAGACTAAGATCAATTAAAGTAGGGGAAGAAATATTAGTTTGAGATATACTACTGCCTTCTGTTTGAGGATCTGTAGAAGAAGGAAAATCATCTCCAGGTTCAGCAGAACCTACTAATTCTTCATACATTCTATATTTTGCAATATAGATATCTCTTGTTCGAGGATCGCAGGGTTCTTTTTCACCTTTGCATACTTTACATATGCAAATAACCTTTTTTCGAGTTTTTACTAGAGGTAATTTAATAAATATTTGATGACTTATTTTTAAAGTATTTTAAGAGTTAGATGTTAAATATCAGGAGGCAAGGCAGACAATAAGCCTTTAAATACAAAATTTTGTAATATATTTTATTATTTGCTATATTACTATAATTTTT